TATATTTCACTCTTCATTTTATTATGTTTTCATTATTGGATTTAAGACATCTAAAAATGAATTCAGCGTAGTATCAATTTTGATTGAAAGACTTTGAATTTGTGATTTTGATCGAATTTTATAATTGAGACTTACGTCACAAGATACGTATTGGCCCGATTTTAATGTGTTTGTTTTTATTTATATAGTACAATTTATTATATGTCTAACTTAAAGTTCGTATATAGAAAACTCGAACTCACCATTTTCCAAAGTAGATGACGATGTTGCTTAGATATAGAATATCTATATTAAAATTACCCACAGTCCACAGCACATGAAATCTTATCATCAATCATCTGTTTTTAAAAGAAAAAAAGGAAAAAATAAAAAATAACGAGTAGGGCTACAAATGAATCGAGTCGAGTCGAGCATTGTCTTATCGAGCTAAGCTCCAACTTTTTGACTGTTGCTTGTTCTTAGGCTCCACGAATCCGGACATTTTTAGTCTCGACACGTAAGCATTCAAGATCAATTTAGAATTTTTAATTCAGAATGTCTAGTTGGTTTTTTTTTTTGTACGCATATTCAAATGGTTTGTCGATTATTCAAGTCTACATACGACAAACAACTAGCCCGAATTGAGATCTTGATATTGAAATACTCAAGTTCGACTCGAACTCGACCTAAACCAAAGGGCTAATTGAGTATTGACTCTGAGCGTTCATACAATACAAGACCACAATAAAAAAATTTCCACAATTGGGTGGGGTAAAAGGTAATTTGATAGTGTCAATCAAAATGTAATTTCCACAAATCTCCACTATTTGGTAGCGTCATTATTCTTTTTAATACAAAAAAAAAAAATCATTACTCTCAACCGTGTACTTTGTCATGTACTTATCAAACTCTAATCTCAATTACCTTAATCCAATGACAAAACTTTATGCATAATTAACCCAAGCGCTTTTTCTCCCCTCTAATACACCAATCATCCCGACTTGAATTTAGAGTGTGTTTAGTAAGCATCATAAGATAGCTCAAGATTATCTGATTAACTTATAAAAGCTCATGCTTAGTTTGATAAGACGAGTTTTTTTTTCAGAAAGGTTGCGCTTATCTCATAAGCTTCTTTTGGTAATTGTTCAAATAGATTGTTGATTTTTTTTTTATTTCAGCTGACTTATCAGCTAGTTTTACCAAATATTTTTATCATACCATCTAGTTTTGCAGTCATAAACCATAAATTAGCTCAAAATTGACTTATAAACTATCAACTAACTTAAGGGTAAACAACAGTGCGGGCAAAGCTCAAAATGGCCAACATACCAAAAAAAATTATCCTAAACGCACTACAAAGGGAAAAAACCGAGTCGAAACCGAATTAACAATGTTATTGCGTTAGGATAATCGAATCGAATCGAAACAGAACAAAATGCATGGTTTGACTCAATTTTTGTATTTTGACTCAAGTTTTCTACGTACTTATTTATAATTTGGCCCAAAAATATGGTAGATGAATTATAATGATATCGAAAGTAAGAAAATTGAACTTGCACGATTCAACTCGATTTTCTGATTTGGGTTTGGTTTTGTTTACTCTTACAGTGTGTTTGGTAAGCACCACAATATAGTTTATTTAGTTAGCTTATAAACTCTCTATATACAAATAAACTTGATTTTGGTGTGACGAAGTTTATTAGAAACTCGAACTTATCTCATAAGCTTACTCAGGGGCGAAACTATGTTGGCACCCGGAGAGGCGCCGGCCCTCCCAAATAAAAAAAAAAAAAAAAATTGAAATTAGGGGTGGAGGATTTTGCTGGAATTGAAAGATTTCATTTGAGCGCTCATGTTGGGCCCTCCCCGGTTTCATGCGGTACATACATGGCTGGAGGAGCGCCAACGGTTTTGTCGTGAAAATTTTTTTTTAAAGGCAAATTGGGGCTCCCCGAAACGGGATCCTGGTTTCGGGACAAAGAGAACTATAACAGCAGAAGAATTTAATAATTTTTTTATTTTTATTATATTTTGAGTTGGTTAATTAGCCGACTTGCGGTGTACCGACGAGACTCAAAAACCGAGTCGATCATTACCAAAAAGTACTGTTATAAAAGTACAGGAAGCGGAGAGTGCGTTGGTGGCATCGATTTATGATTTTGAGGTCCCGACCATTTATTTTGGGTAGCCCGAAGTTGAGAGAAAAATGGCAGTGGCGGTGATTTTATTGTTATTTTCATGTCTAGACTTCGGGTAACCGTCGGCCCTCGTTAGGCGTGCTGAAAATTAGCGGGAGTGCTTTCTTGAAAGCACGCGAACAGTAGAAGCCGTTCGTAAAATTTATTTCACGTTTCGAAGTTTCGAGCATTTATTTTGAGAAGCTCGAAGTCGAGTGCGCATAATAGAAGAATAAAAAGCCGTTTTGCGGGGTTCCGTAAGGTTGCGTGTGACCTCGGTTTAACGAGAATCGAGTTGGAGTGTGTAGACAATTCAAGCACGATTCCATGCGGATAAATTTCGCATTTTTCGAAGTTCCAAGCATTTATTATGGGAGTTTGAATTTCTGCGTTAAATAGTATCAAAATGAGCAAATTTGTCGAGGACGAGTTCAACCGTTCGAGGCTTCGTTTTCTCAATTTTTTCAGCTTTTCGTCTATTCGAAAGGAGGTATAATTCTTGATTATTATTATAATTGAGTCCGAAATTTTTATTATTATAAATTCGAGTATTTTTCGAGTTAAAACAATTCAGTTTAAGTATACCAGTTTAATTCCGGACTTAGTTTGATTTTTAAAAAAATAGTATTCATTTATATCCTGCGAAAATTTTTGAGAGCATCCACAAAAGCCCTTTGAGCGCCCTTCAGATGCCGGAGTGAGGGTGGTGCGCCGCGGGATGGCCAGAGTGGGGGTGGTGCGCCGCGGCAAATTGGGCCCTCCCCGGGATAACCGGCTGGTTTCGCCACTGAACTTACTTATGTAATTTTTCAAATAAAGTCGTCCAAAATTTCTCTGACTTATCATATAATTTTAAAAAACATTTATCATATCGACTAGTTTTTCAATCATAAATCATACTATAACCTATAATGAAACTCACTTATAAACTATGGCATAACTTACATACGAGTTTTACCAAACACAAAATTTTCTATATCCGTACACTAATTATTCTCTTTCTTCCCAACTCTTATTTTTTTTTTTCAACCATTTGCAGATTCCACCCAAGATTGTAGAGAGAGAAAGACAGAGTTATTGATAATAGTGGGGATTAGTGCTCTTCTTACGTCGAAAGGTGTCGCCTTGTTCCTTTTTTTTTTTTCCTCCATTTTTAAGAGACAGTCAATCGCACGTCATATTTATGTGAACCCAAAACTGTCCAGCTACTGCGGAAAAAAAAATAATAAAAAAAAATAACACCCTGCTTGAGCTCTGATAGGAGGTAGGTGAAAGCTAAACACCTCGTTTTTTTTATTTTTTTTTTTAATTTTGTATTTTTCATTGTTTAGAGGGTGGGTTTGTTAATTCATGGTTTCTAATTGAAGGGCTGAATTTTTTTATTTTTATTTTTTTAAATCTCGGTGTTTGTGTTCTTGATTTTCCTTTTCGCTTTTGCTGTTTGTGTGGTTTGTTGCTGTTGTAATTTCTTGAATTTGTTTGCAGCCATTGATAAAGGTTGAATTTTTATTTTGTTAGCAACTAAATTTTGGCTATTTGCTAGTGATTTTTGCTTGTGTGGTACTGCTGTTTAACGGATATTACAGGTACAATCAGTTAATATTGTATGCATATTGCACAAAATGGTTCATACAGAGCAACGGGCAGTTTTAATTAGATGATGATAATACTATGTAATGGTTCTTTTGGGTCTGTCATCTGCATGTATGGCAGTTGGTTCTTTTGACTGGGCTTTGAGATTCATCTAAATTTGACCTCAGTCGATGGATATGAATTTCTACTAAGTTTTGGCTGTCTGTTTCATTTCGGTATAGTCGAAATGGGTGGCTTTCGTTCTTTTTTCGATCTCTAAGTTTACTGGTTTTGGTTCTCTATGATTTCAATGGATGTTGTTGATTTTCAGTTTGCATAACAATATCATCATTTCTGCAGGTAGATTTCCTTGTCGTTAAAAAATGTAATTCGTATTTTTCGATGAAGTTTTGCTGCATCTGGGATGGGATTACTCTGACTGACCAGTGAAGTTCTTGATTGATTAGTGATTACTACTCATTGAAGGTGCTTTTTTTTTTTTCAAAGAAATCAATATTGGGTTGTTCTTTCAGTAATTTTGACTTGCATTACATTACCTTCTCATGCTTTCTTGTTTGGGAAGCAGAATTTTTTTGGTATAAAAAGTTGGGACCTCTGAAATCTACAATTTGCATTACCAAAATACGACAAAACTTTGCATTTAAGCGTGTTGGTCGACACAACTAATATAACATCTTAAAAGATTTTGATTTATTTTTCCCTATACTTTTGATTGATTTCTTGCACATTTCCTTGCTGCAGAGTGTAGAGAATGGCTTCGTGGGCGTACTTTGATCCTGAGTATGAGACGTTAAGCATCAGAATAAATCCTCCACAGTTCAGTTCCTTTTTTTTTTTTTTGAAATCTTTGCCTTTTTCGTTGATAACGTTATGCATTTGTTTGTGCCTTTTGACTGTTGAGATGGTCAATGACTAACAATGTTGCAATTTTATTGTACATTTTTCAAAGTTAATCTTTTCTTTATATTTGGTCTGCTGTTTTAAATTTATCGATTCACCTGTTTCAGGGTATCTGTCGACAACTCTAGTTGCAAAGACTGCACTCTAGTCAAGGTAATCCTCAACAGAACTTTACTGGCCCTTTAAGGAAAGACCCAATTCTTGCACTTTTGCTAATTTTATGAAATTATACTAAGTTGTTGATGAATGCATGAATGCAAGTTTCAGAGAGAAGTTAATCGGATGAAAACCAAATTACTCCAACTGAATTTTAAGTATTTTGTTTCAGTCAGAATCACGAAAAAACAGACCAAAAGAGAAGAAAGTACCCAATTAAGCAGTCTCAAAAATCTCAAAATTATGAACACACAAGCGTTCGGTAAAACAACAAGATCAAACATTCCATTTTTTATTTTTTCACTCAGGTCGATAGCATGAACAAACCGGGGATACTGCTGGAGGTGGTCCAAATTCTTACAGACCTTGACCTTACAATAACTAAAGCTTACATCTCCTCGGATGGAGGGTGGTTTATGGACGGTATGCATGCTTTTCTTCTTAATGTTTGTTCAAATATAAAGCTTCATAAAAACCCATTATGAAGATCCACTTTGTTAACTATTTCTAGTAACTAATCGGTCCAGTTCGTAATTCTTAAGTAGTATCAATCACAGATAATATGCAGGTCTGTTTGTACATCTGTCCATGCATGGTCTTTTTTTTTTCCCTAAAAAAATGTAAGTTAGGTTTGTGATTGAAGATTATCAGTTTGGCTTACAGCCTCTATCTCTTTGTGTCGACAGTGTTTCATGTCACTGATCAACAAGGGCAAAAGATTACCGACAGCAGGACAATTGAACACATTGAGAAGGTGTTTTTTTTTGTTCTTCAATTCTTGATTGTTAGATTTTCAGTTGAAAGAGAAACCATGACTTAAACCACTTAAATTAGTTAATTTGTGTCTTTATTAAATTCTGCTTCAGTAAACACCAAGGGATAACTACTTAACTACAATAACCACCACTGAAGTCTAGGAGCTTATATAGCATAATGATACAGAGTTACTTTCTAAATTACAGAAAAAGGCCACTCGAGTTTTGATTTGATTCTAAATTTCTCCAATTTATGAAAACAGAACCATTTCGAAGTAACCCTTTCGTTTATGGAAACTCTACAACTATACCCCTATGAAAATATGTGTATGGCAATCATTAACGAAAATAAAGTAAAGAAAAATGCCAAACAAGTCTTGATGTCCTTTGAGTTAAAACGAAAACTATACAGGCCTTGGGGCCCAAAGGAACCACTTCCGGACTCCTCAAGGTCCGTCCGGGAAAGCGGGTCGGGCCCAACCCCACAGCCGATCAACCCCACACGGCCATCGAGCTCATCGGCCGGGACAGGCCTGGCCTCCTCTCAGAAATATCGGCCGTCCTAGCTGGCCTCCACATCAACGTCACGGCTGCTGAGGTGTGGACCCACAATCGGCGCATTGCCTGTGTCCTTTACGTTGGTGATGACGGCACAGCTGATGGCCCGGCCCGAATATCCTCCGCGGAGGAGCAGCTCTGCAATATCTTGCGTGGTGAGGATGAATTCGTGGCCCGGACGAGCCTTTCTGTGGGGTCCACCACGCACATCGACAGGCGGCTCCACCAGCTGTTGTTTGCTGACAGGGACTATGAAGGGTATTGTGTGGCGGTGGTGGACGGGCCGAAGGTCACGATCGAGAGGTGTGAGAAGGATTACTCGGTGGTGACTGTGAAGTGTAAGGATCGGTCGAAGCTGATGTTTGATATAGTTTGCACGCTTACGGATATGCAGTATGTTGTTTTCCATGCGACTGTGTCGTCTGAAGGGCCCTACGCCTCGCAGGTTCGTATGTTCTTTTTCTCTTTTCGAAATGAAAAAAAATATGAAATGGGTTCTCTTTAGTATCATTGCAGATCATCTTGTGCGTTCTTTTTCTTTTTCTTTTTTTTCGAAATGAACAATATGAAGTGGGTTCATTAGAATAGTTGCAGATCTTCTTGTGTGTTCTGTTTTCACTTTTCGAAATGAAAAATATGAAGTAGGTTCATTAGCAGATCTTCTTGTGTGTTCTTTTTCTTTTTTCGAAATGAAAAATATGAAGTGGGTTCGTTAGAAATGAAAAATATGAAGTGGCTTTCGAATTTTGTAGGAATATTACATACGTCACATGGATGGGTGCACTCTAGAGACGGAAGCAGAGAAAGAGAAGGTCATCAAGTGTCTCGAGGCAGCAATTAGACGACGAGTGAGTGAGGTAATGAAAATGATCCTCCATTGTACTTTTTTTTTCTTTTTTTTTTTTCATTTTTCACAATTCTCTTATACCTATTCAAAATCCAGGCTAGTTGAAAAAAATCAAAATACTCATCTTTCTTTCATATATAAATATTCCTCTGAAATCCATTTGTTTTGGAAATTGCATTGTCAGTAAGGGCTATTTTTGTTTAAAAAAATGCAAATCTAAACGAGCCATTTACGACACATGAATCGTATCTTTTGTAATTTTGAAGTCGAATTAATTCATTTTACAGATCGGCTAACACATCAGGGGTAACTTTGTATTTCGCAAAAACTACCGTGTTATCTGAGATTGTCATGGAGATTTTTTTTGTTGAAAAGGTTATGAGAAAGCCAGACAAAGAAATTATATGAGACCTCAAAAAAAAAAAAAATCGCAAAATGCTTAGGAATTGAAATTCCGTATTCGAAATATCGTACAGGGCCTAAGCCTGGAACTATGCGCAAAGGATCGTGTGGGCCTCTTATCCGAAGTCACGCGAATTTTACGAGAAAACGGGCTTTCTGTAACAAGGGCTGGAGTCTCGACTGTGGGCGAACAAGCCATGAATGTATTCTACGTGAACGATGCTTCCGGAAAGTCTGTGGATGCAAAAACTATAGAGGGCTTACGAAAGGAAATCGGGCAGACTATGAGGCTGAACGTGAAAAAGGCACCTAATGATGGGAAAATGCTCGAGACTAGTGGATGGGCGAAAACGAGCTTCTTCTTCGGGAGCCTGCTGGAGAAGTTTAGGGCTTGAGTTTTTACTGGACTTTGTGTGTGTGTTCAGTGTTCTGATGTTTGATGTTTGTGATTTGAGAAGCCTTTTGTGTGGAGCTTTGTGTATGTGGATGAATGGGTGTGTGTAAACATTAAACTGTACAAATCAAGAAAACAATAAGTTGTAATAAAAATGTTGGGGCATTTTATATAATGGAGTAGTAAATTTTCACTAGCTCTGTTATTCAATTAATTATAAGTTTCAAGGATCAAACAAATAGCTTATTTTTGTGAGCGGTTAAATAGTAAAGTCTACGTAAACAGTAAAGTTTATGTAAACTTACAGTTGAAGTGTACTTGGGAATGCAGAGTGCGATTTTTGCATAGAAAACAAAATTTTACTCGGGGAGTGTTCATCTTCAGAACTCTTTCATTATTATCCTCAGAACTCCATTAGTAAATGAACGTGCACATGTAGTTTACTTGCTTGGAACAACTGTATGTTGACGAGTTGCCAAATTTGTCAATCTTAGGTTGTATTCGTACACAACTTTGTCGATCTCAGGTTGTATTCATGTTTGTTTGATTTTTCGCGAACTAAGTATACAATGTCTTTCATAGAAGTACACATCAGCTTTTAACAGACAACTGGGTGTGTTTGGAAAAAACATTCCAAACATAAGGAATTGTTTTGCAATTATAAAAATAAGCTCGAATACTAAAGAGTAAAGAGAGTAAAAGCTACATAATTTATTTATAGATATATATATTATATATGAAATATACTTTAGTGTTTGATGCCAACAAAACACAAGCCAACTTCAGCTTGAGCCTGCAACTCTTCCAGCACTTTCACTATCTTCTCCCGGCTAACTGCAGTTTCCCTTTGCTCCGAAAGCATTTTCCGTAATCTTCACAATAAAAAAACCAAAAAAAAAAAAAAAAAATGAAAAAGTGGTAAATTTAACTATTAGCAGCCATGTGAATATGTTTCAACAAACTGGGCTATAGCCTATATTCCATAACGCGTTATTATAGTGAAAGGTAAAAACGAGAGCTCACTTTTGTACGATTGCGGTGTCTCCATGGCCCGTGCAGATCACGAGCATGGAATTGCACGGTAGACTCGAATGCAGGCTCTTGACTCTTTTGTCCACCCGACTAAGAATGTCTTTCAGTTCTGATGTGATGTTGTAAGCAATCTTTTTTCTACTTGTAGAATTGTTACACGTAAGCAACGAGATCATCTCTGCTAATTTCACGTTTAAATTATCCTCATTGTTTGCTTGTTTCATGAAATAAGAATATAATTCCGTGAACTGGGTCCAAACAAAATGCACCCTCTCATTTTTGGCCTGAAAATCACCAGAAATATAAAGGGTTAACAGATTAATTACAAATGTATCCCTGAGGTTTAGCTTTATTTCTGAAAACTCAACTCCCGTGTTGGTTTCTTTTCTAACATTGTACCCTCGAGTTGATGTTTGTGACAATGAAGGGGGCATTTTGTAATTCAGAAGATGAGGGAGTTTTTTTTCTTAGTTGGGTTTAGAACTTAGGGTAGTTTCTTGGAATTATCTGGAAAAAAGAAGTACCTCCTTTTTCGCTTTCAAAAGAGCTTCATCATCCGACGAAACTGGAATTGAATTTGACAATTCGGAGGCATATCGCTTCACTATAGAAATATTATCGATTAAAGATGACGTTTTTCCAGATTCACTTAACAAAGTCAAAAGTTTCTTCCTTATAAACGTCGATGGCAAACCGAAAGCAGGACCTATTACAGAAAAAAAAGATATGGTCAACATTTGCAGTCAACTCAGTATAGAAATAATACTCAGTTTGATTCCGAAGAACCATCCATGATGATTGACCAATCACGTGAAAACCTAGACAACTTTCAGAATTACATAAAATATCCGACGTATTTTTTGTTTTGATGTTCATCCTCTTCTTAAGCAAACAGCAAATAAAAACTCATTCACTATCATACAGAATTGCAGCAGAATCAAATAAATAGCTGGTTCTTTTTAGGTCAAACCGCTGTAATTATCCCTAATATTAACCTACACAAATAAAAAAATGTGATTCCAGTCATAGAAACAGAAACAACCATGACTTCCAATAATACCATTATAGCGTCAATGCATAGCATGGAGATTATCTGAAAGAAATACCGTTTTTTATTTTTAGCAGAGCAAGCTCCATTGTAGCTCTTGCATCTTCAACACTATCGTGTCCATTTCCAGAGCCTTGTATCTCTCTCAAAAGAAATCTTCTCGTCAACACACGTAAAGCTGTTTTATAAGATTTACCATGAGGGTGCTTATACAATACGGCGGTATCAATCACCAAATCATGACAAATCTTTAAGGCAAGCAAATCATTTTCTAATGAATGTCCAACGAGGATGGTCTCTTTGTGAACTAGCTGAAGAAAATCTTCCTGAAAACAGAAAACACTTGTCAACTTAAAGGTTAAACCCAATATTACAAGAATTTGAGATAATTACAGATTAGTCTCTACTTAAAAGAAACTCAACTTGCCTTTCAATATTACCAATGCAGGCTTGTAATTACCAAAACAATACCCATCTTATTTGCAGTGCAACTCATGAGACGGAAACGGTTTGTAGGGGGTATAAAATTTTTTAAAATACTACTGGGTTATCCTGTAATAAGTTAAGCCTGAGGGGACGATTTAAATATCCTAGAGAATTTAGAAGTAAGTACAAGGAAAATGTCACAAACTAAACTTGAACATCTTCAAGAGTTGTGGTCACCCCTTCCAGCATCACGTGTGTAATCCCGCTATATCTGCATCATCACAAGCTACATAAGCCTCAGGCAATATTTTAGTTTTACCCATTTTGTGTAAGTAAATCTATTGATGAAAGTCTCCTCAACTCAACTAATGATGTTATACAGCATGCTCGTTCAAAGATGCCAAGCGAGATATATAAAAATATGGCCACGATAACAACCTATGAAGCACTCTATAGAAAATAACCCCTAAACCAAAGGTTACACCAATTCATGATCACAGAAAAAGCAAGATTCATGCATAAGCTCAGGCTAAGATTCAAGACAAGCTCAAGTTACATTTTTCGAGCTTGCGGACCATCTAGATTGAGACTGATAATACTCACTGAATATATTCAGCACATATAGTAGGTAATGATACCTTGTGTTGTAGTCGGTGATAGCGTTTGCTGGTTTAACAAGTTTATCCAACAATACCTGCACATCTGCTGACATTAGCCAAACATGTACAAAGAACATAATCACAAGCCATGAATTGCAGAAAAACAAATGAAATTGTAAAAATAGAAGCATTTCTTCCTGAAGGGAAATGCTTACAGCCTTACATTCCTATATACTGAGTTTAAATGTGAAGGTTTATGTTCCAGACTCCAAATAAAGAGACAGGTTGACCTCGTGTGTGTGTGTGTGTGTGTGTGTGTGTGAGAGAGAGAGAGAGAGAGAGAGAGAGAGGAGTAACCTGTCCGGCAATATCCACAAGTGTAATTCTTGTAAGCTCAAACCCTTTACCTGTAATGCACTGGTAAAAAACTAAATAAATAACTAAATAAACGACAAAAAGAAACATTGAAGTACAAAACACGAACCACATCAAATTTCAAATAACGCCTATAAGATCCAGAAAGACAAATAGTTCAGATACCCTCACTTTTTAGTGCTACAATCTAGTACTTCATACTACTACTATAGAAACAACAATCAAATTGGCTATTTGACCAGTCAATGAAAGCATCGCATAGAAATAAATATAAAAGTTCGGATAGTCAGCGGCAATATACCATCTCACAGTCCAGTGCCAAAATCTCATGAACTGGAGTACCAGAAGGTGCAGGAAGTGTTGAACGAAATTCTGCAAGAGCCAAAAAATATATGACATATTTTTTTTGTCAAAAGAAAACTTACGACGAGATAAATCAAAATCTTTATTTCTTTTTGAATATATATTCTTTCGAAATGGTATAACCTGGATTATTACAACAATATCCATTGTCTTCCAATTCCTTAGCGGTCAGAGTATAGTAGGTCATTGGGAATGGCAAATTTTTCAATACATCTGCACCAGATGCAATACCTGACATAGGAATCCCAATTCTTCATTATTCGAGCATGAGCAGCAAAATCTTCAATTAAGTTTTGGCCATGATAAATACTATTCCTCGAAAGAATGGTTGTAACTTAAAGGACAATGTTGTCTGGATATAAAAAAAACCTCGATAAGCTGTCTGAGCAGCTTTCTTTTGAATAAGTTCTGCTTCATCCCTTTTTCTTTTTACTTTGCAAGTAAGAAGAGCATCTACAGTCTGCATTCCATCTGATACGCAGCTAGCGCATAACAAGAAACCAAACTCATAGTAACTAAAGCAGGAAAAAAAGGACAAAACTCCAGAACTCGAGTTTCCTCTGTATCATCGTAATACTAAATACCTGAGAGCTAATACGGCCCTAGGGACACCACAGCAGTCTTTAAAACCTTTTAACAGCTTAGACTGTGACAAATACAGCGCAGCATCCAGACCAGGGATATAAAGCATGACAACTTTGGGAATCAATGGCTTGTTCTGCACATAACAAAGCAATATAATTTAGTAAACTTAGAACAATTTTCAGCTCTTTATTTAACTAAAAAGTAAGAATAAGCTCTTGCTCACAGACTAAACAGAACCAAGGGGAGAAAAGAAGGCTAAAGATTCTCACTTTAATAAACACCCATGACGGCATATAACCTTCTGCAAGCACCCAGGTAGCGAGCCCTTGGACATCCTGTAACATGAATCCGAAACGACGACTAACTCCATCTATGAACTAACATTAGCTAAATACACAAATTCTATGTAGAAAAAATTCAAAAGACATACATGCAAATTCAAAGTCGAGTTTGCTTCTGGCTGCTTAAAAACAATCTCTGCCCTCGCCTGCAAGTTTCCCAATTCACAAATTTAAATCAAATTCTTAGCGCACAGACATAGCTCAAGCTGAGGTAAGGAGAACTAATAAGAGCCCAAATGCTTAAAACAACAACAAGAGGAATGTAGATCGAAAAAACTACGATCGCAACAAATACATTCACGATTAAGAATTTCAGAGCAATGATTATAAAAAAATTACAAGAAGTGAACCTCTGGACCGTAGACATCAAAGAAAGCTTTAGCATTGCCGTTGCCGTCGGAGCTTCCTTCGTTCGCCGCTTCAACTTCACTGTCGGAGGAGCTCATGCTGTCACTGAGAAAGAAGAGGGAGAAAAAAATGTACTCTTTCGACGATCCGACTGATTTCTGTAAAAGCCCTAATTTTGTCCCCTGCACATAAACTAATTTTAAGAATTTAATTCTAATTATGTGAACCTAGGGTTTGAGCCTTTGAGAGGTTTTCCCCGGTCAGTTGCATATAGGCTGCAAACGAACCGAGCGGCTCGAGAGCCGCTCGCGAGCGCTCGAGTCAAAGCTCGACTCGAGCTCAAGTTTGACCGAACTCGAGTCGAACTCGAGCGGCTCGAGCACGATATCGAGTCGAGCTCGAGCCTGAATTTTATCTTGTGGAGCGGCTCGCGAGCGGCTCGAGATACACGTTAAATTACTAAAATACCCCTTATTATATATATTAGTATAGGTATTTAATGGTAATTTTACATTTTCTCTTAAAAATTTTCGAGTCGAACTCGAGCTGAGCTCGAGCATTTTGATTTCGAGTCGAGCTCGAGCCGAGCTCGAGCTATTGTAATTTTCTATCGAGTCGAGCTCGAGCCTAAAAAATCGAGCTCGACGAGCTCGAGCTCGAGCAGCTTGAAAAAAAAAACTCAATCATGCTCGATAAGCTCAATGCTCGACTCGACTCGACTCGTTTTCAAAATCTTCCGGCAAATTCGATCCTACCATGTCGACACTGCCCACATGGGGTTTTTTTACCATTGGTATACACATAAACACACACACACACCCACATGGGTTTGTGTGAAATTAATGGTAAAATACCCCATGTGGGCCGTGCCCACATGGGTAGGATCGAATTTCCTTAATCCTCCATGGCCTTTTTTTTCGTTTTACAATTTATTTGTTTATTTATTTATTACTACCTCCTATTTTTAATATATGTCGTTTTGAGAAGTTGCACATTAATTAAGAATAATTTTTTTGGTCAATAATAATTTTATTTAATGAAGATAGAGATAAATGTTTTGAGAAAAAGTGGAGTGAATATGAAAGGACGTAATGTACTTATTAGCTAAGTGAGGGTAATAATGAAAAAATATGTACAAAAGATCCAAAACGACATTTATTTTGTAAATAGTTGATAAAGCCAAAATGACATTTAAAAAAAAATAGGAGGGAGTATTATTTATATCATATAATTAAATCGTAGTTAAATTTATTTAACTGATAACTAATTTTATTTTTCAATTAAAATTAATAGATAACTTAATTTTTAATATTTTTATTTTTAAATAGTATATTTATTTATTTATCTTATCGTACAATATAGATTTAAAATGAAACTAATGAAGAGATGATTGATTTGATATTATGTATGAATTATTGATAATAAATATAATAATAAACCTTTGAAATATATTTTCAATTTAAGTTAGTAAAGTGTATTATAATAAAAAAAATGGTTTGAGAGAAAAAGAAAGATAGAAATGTTAACAATCGACCTGGTCATGCCACACTTAAATGATAAAAATGTACTTGAGGGTGTAGAACATGAATCAGGCGCGTACTTACAGCACCTCGACTCAGACTGGACGAGGGAACTGACTTCACTCCCAAACCGGCGAAGATCGACATCGCTCTTAAGCTGGTGCCCGACTTCTTTCCCAACCGAGGCCTCTATGTATAACTGACGTGGTGACAAAAATCGAATTCAAAGTGGGTGACAGAACACCTACGCGACATAACTACGCACCACATGTATCGTCATCACTCTCGTGGGTCCACCTGCCGGAAACCGCCTCAAGAACACAATTTACATTAAATGAGCCGTACACGCCTCGAAAAACAAGTCAAGCTGAGAGCTACTATAAATAGCTAGAAATTATTCTTGTACAGAGAGGAATTATGGATATTCCAAATACACGCGAACAAACGCAAGTCGGTTTACACTCAGAATCGACTTTTTGTATCACATAAACAGCGAATATAACAAAAACTTTCCACATTTACATCTTAATTACGTGTTAAAATCGTTGTTAAATATCACATAACAACAAGAGAGAAAAAGGAAACCATGCCTTATAAATGCTCATAATAGGAAATTATATTAAATCACAATTGATGCTCTCATAAATTGTTATATTCTAATATATTTATGGATAATTCTAAGTCTAATTATTTATGGATTTGAAGTAAATAAACGATATCCAAGTCAAATGACAAAGTATAAAATTTTGCCACATATGATAACAAAACATGCGAGTCAGTCATTTAAGCTCAGTGCATTCGGAAATTATATATATAGTGAGTATATAGAGAGAATTTTTTTATGACTTAGCTTCATATGTATAGATGTTCAAACATAGTGTAACATAACATTATCACCTTTGAGGCTGCAATTTTGTCAAAAAGAAGTCAAGAAGGTACATGCAATTTCGAATCGATTCGTTCATGAGCTTGGCTCGTTGAAAACTCATTGAGCTCAACTTGACTCATTAAGACTCGAAAGTAAGATTTTTTTGTACAATTATCTGTAGTTTGACTCGTTTAGATTTGAGCTCGACATGTTAATATTGATAAACGGATCGATCTCAATTACTGGCTCGTTAAAGGCTCGACCAATCATAATCATACAACACAGGAGAAATCGAAAGCGATAATTGACTAACCGAAGCATTACCAAACTTAAAAGCACAATTATACCAAACTTGGTTCAGATATAAATCCCATGTTCAATGTTTTCATGCAACCAAAACAGAAACACTTGAGAATTAAATTGCCCCACAAGAGAGAAAGATCATCATGAGTAGGTTAAAAAGCAGACATTAAACAAAAACAAGTTCCTAACAAATGTTGTTTTTTTTGTTTTGCAGCTCTGAACTAGACTTGTTCATCTTGTGGTTTTTCAAACTGCCTGTTCGATTTTGGGATTAGCCTTTTGATCCATCTCCAGGGACTTATCAGCTGTGGATTTCTCGTTTTCACCCTTGTTATCACGGTAAATCGCGTAGAGTATAAGCTGCACTGCACCTAATGCACTTCCAAATCCATTGGGAACCTATGAAAATTACAAGAATCTGGTCAAAAAAAGAAAAAAGATGCATTTTGTTAATTTTTTGGAGTAATTTGATTTGAGACAAGATGAGGATTATTACAGCGATGAAAGGGTCTTTTCCGAGGAGGCCAAAGATGAACCAGGACGAGCCGCACAAGAATACGAACAACGATAGGAAGAAAGGCATGAACTCCACACTTTTTGTTTTGATCACCAACCTCTGCAAATTGTTTTTTTATAGTGAAATAATAATTCATAATAAATGATTAAGTGTGTGGATATAATATAAAACACAGACATCATTCAGAAGTTATGACAAATTCAAATAGGCAATTTTTTGACTTTTTTCTCTGCCTAAATAATAATAATAATAATAATAATAATAATAATAATAATAATAATAATAATAATAATAATAATAATAATAATAAAAACAGTATTCTGACTAAATGAGAAAGTTCTTTATAAATTTGAGAACACAGAGGAAAAGAAAGTTCAATTAAACCATAATTTGCATAAATTCTTTAGTAATCAGAAGGAAAGAAAAAAGGAAAAGATAAAGAAAAACACTTACTATGATTGTCAAAGGTGAACCATACATGATGATGGAGAAGAAAGTGGCAGCCACACCACACAAAAGCTTCCTGTTATTGCCATGGAGTGCAAAGATAGAGACCAAAGCAATAGTCGCGAAAACAGCAAGAACAATCGATAGCAGCCCGAAGATTTTGTACTTCTCCTTTTTCGGTGCATATAAGATAAAGATCATCACGTAAACGATTTCAATGGCTGCCCCAGTTCCATTAATCGTCGAGACGAGCAGATTGTTAGGCGACACAAACGGCAAACCATACCTATTGTAAGAGAATAAAGGAAATGGAAAGAAAGCAAAATTCATGAACTGTAAATTAAGAAGTAAGATTAGGAGGTTTAAGCAAGGCAGGAGCTAAAAGAGCATTTTTTCCCCTTAGTGATCTTATACAGATTCTTTATTAACTGATAAATGTAGGCATGAAAAATACTAAAATAGTTACCAAATGCTGTGAAAAATGGATTTTTTTTTTCTCCTTAGGCATAAATAATAATTGCAGTAAGATCATAGACATGTGTTGAAAAAGAACAACATGCTGCTACATAAGGTAATTTAATTCATAGAGATTAATATCTGTCTGAAAATCAAATTTAATCTCTCTCAGTCTTCAATCACAAACAGTCATAATGGGCTTAATTATTTCGAAAAAAAAAAAAATCGAAGAAAAATTTACCAGGCTGAGAGCAAGCAGTTGAGCAGGGTCATGGCATATGGGATTCCAGAGAACTGCTCAGTAGACCTATTCTTCATGATTCTTTTGAAGGTGATCCTGTATATTGAGTAGAAAAACAACATAATGAAAATGAAAAAAAAAAAAAAAAAAAAAAAAAAAAAAAAAAAAAAAAAAATCACATGAATACTGAAAAATGAACATGGTTTAAGGAAATGCTAAAGTCCCGTTACGGAACCATTCCGTCGGGTTTGTAACCGTTAGATCAATTATCATTGACGGTTTGTAACCGTCGGGTTTGTAACCGTTAGGCTGTGGTAAACTCACAAGATCCAAAGATAAAAATGGCATCTGAAGAAATGTCATCTTGATTACTTCAAAAGCCATTATTCACATCTTTTTCAAGAAAATTTAGAGTAAAGAGCAAGAAAATGAACACTCAAAAATCAAAATAACACCTCACAACAGTTACTATCTCCAGCAAATTTTCACTCATTTTGAATGACAAGAAACTCGAACAAAACCACGAAAACAGCAGCTATCTTCAACAGCACAACTAAAAGTAAAAAAACTAGAACACGATGCAAAACAGAGCATACACACACACACACACACACACACGCTGCAAATTTCACTCATTTTGGATGACAAAAACTAGAACAAAACCCATGAAAAACAGCAGTTATCTCTTTCATCTAAACAAAAACAGTAAAAAAAAAAACTCACAGTGGCGCCAAGAACAGAAACAGAGCAAAAGCATTCCCTGCAAGATGACGAACAAGAAACAAAGGAAAGCAAATAGAAATCAAAACCATGATAAAAATAAAAAAGGGACAAAAAATACAAAGAAAACAGAAAACCCACCAAAAATGCCGATCACAAAGTGCAGAACGTTCTCCATTTGTTCGATTTCTTCTCAAAAAACACAAACACAGAGCGTTAAAATGGAAAACCCAGAACAAGAAACCCGTAAAAACGTGATCTTTTTTCTTTTTTTCTCCCTTTTTTTCTCCCTTTTTTTCCCACCTTACTGGGTTTTTTTTTTCCCCTTTCCCCAAGAACGCTTTTAGCGTGAGCTCTGTGTGAAGAGGTACACACTAAACACACACCTATTTATACAAATAATAAACATACAAGAAAATGGGCA